TGCCGTTGTCAATGATCAGTCTTGAGGCCTTTAGGATAGGACGAGTCCTAAAACGCGACGGGTTTCCAGCGTAATGACCCAACACGTCTACATTGAGCGTGGAATTCAGACGACTCATGCTTCGCGGAAGATTCAACTTGGCCACATTCGGGTTGATCATTTTGACAATCTCGAATGGTCCAATCTTGCGAGCAGCGAGCTTAACTCGTTTTCCATCAATGTCTTGAGTCACATGGGCGGATGGAATACGACGAGTATCCAGCATGACTAAGTCTCCTTCCTTGAACGTGATCGATGATCGCTTCTTGTTATCGTACTTCTTCTGACGTTCTTGTGCTTGAAGAAGATGCTTCTTTGCCAAATCAATGATCTCTTGACGTTTATATTGGATCGGTTTCGCATATTCAACAATTCCATGCTAAGGTTGAGGCATGGTACTGGGATTGCTCAAAGGATTCAATGGATTCCGTTATTTGCGTCCAATATCATCTTCAAAGGGCGACATACCCGTAGATGTGCTGACGAGAGTAGCATGAGCATACTCAACCGTTTCGAGATTATCCGAACAATCACGTCCGTGGTACGATATCATGCAGCGTAAAGCGTCTTCCAGAATCAAATTTTGACGTTGGGTTTGTCCATCGGCTTGGTAACGATAGGAAGTTGTCATGTGCCAACGAATTCCCAGCTTAGCCAAGGATGACCTGAGCTCGGAGACAAACTTGAAATCTCGATCGCTGATGATGATCGATGGTAAACCGTGATGGCGAACAACGCAATCAAAGAAGTAATACGCAGTCTTCTGTGCATCGTCAGTCCGATTGCACGCACGATACTTCGGGCGCTTGGACAACTTGACGACAATGTCAAGATTGCATCAAAGCCATTGAAATTAGGTAATCCAGTGATAAAGTCCATAGAGACGACAGACCAGCATTTCTCAGGAATCGGAATAGGAATCATTTTGCCATTCTCGCAAGCATTGCTGTGTTTCCAGCGAGTGCAAGTTTAACAGCTTTGCACATAATCGCGAACGCCTTGGCTCAAGGTGTGCCAATGATACCATTGCGAAATGCGAAGGTGCGTTCGATGAGATCCAGGATGAGCAGTAATATTGGAGTCATGGATGCTTGAAGATGATTGTCCCGAGTAAACGGAACACACCAACGCTTCATCGTCTGAGACTTGCGGAAACGTAGACCGTTTTGTTTGACAAATAGCTGTTGCAGATGCTTAAAACAATCTCCGTAGTCAGGGCAATTGCGATATCCAGCAGCAAAATCTCTGCTAGCCAAATCAGACCAGCCGAGAGAGCTCCAATTGTGAGCTTGTTGGGTCACATTGGAGTCCACAACAATATTCTCAGCTGCAGCGACGGTACGCGGAGTTTACACTGGTACATGTCGGTAAGCTTGAGCCAAGGTCGGAATAGGGCGCTTGTAGTGACCAGCAGCAACATCCTCCCCACGAAATTGAGGGCGAGAGGGTGGTCGAGCCAAATGTTGGTTAAGACTGCGGTAATCGGTATTAACGCGTTGATTCATCAGGTTTCGAGCCGCATGGGCATTGCAGCGCGTGGTACACTGATGAAACGAAAGCGTATTGATCGCATGCTCCGAAGATTGACGCGTCAACGCATCGGCAACCACATTGAGGTATCCCTTAACGTGATGCAACTTGAATGTAAACTGGGCGAAAAATGTCAAATAGCGAGCCAATTTCGCTGAAACCTTCGAAAGGTGCAAAAATCATTTGGAAGCAGTGTTGTCTGTGTAGGTATCGAATTTACGGCCATATAGGTAGTGATGCCATTTTTCTAGCGCTAATTTAATGGCGAAGAGTTCTTTCTCGTGTGTTGGCCAATTGATCTCGTGAGGACCTAGTTTCTTCGAGAAGAAGGAGATCGGATTATTTTGACCTGAACGAACTTGAGAGATAACGCCACCAACACAGTAGTCAGAGGCATCTGTTGTCACGATGAAACGTTTCTCGTAATCCGGTAACTGCAACACGGATGCTTCTTGAAGAACGAATTTGATTTTTTCAAACGAACGAGTATGTTCTGGACCCTAGCTCCAGACATGTTCTTTCTTAACAAGATAACCAAGAGGCAGCGCAATAATAGCGTAATCACGGATAAAGCGATGGTAATAACTTGCGAAACCCAAAAAGCTTTGTAGCTGCTTTTGGTTTACTGGCGTAGGCCACATTGCAAATGCTTCCGTCCTGTGCGTATCAACGGCAAGTCCTTTGGCAGAAATCGTATGGCCGAAAACTTAAATTTGGGCTGGCCAAAGTGACGCTTCGAGAGATGGCAGAACAACGTCTCACGACGTAGAACCTGGACGAGAGTTTGAAGATGTTCAACATGCTCCTTCAGACTGGTGGAAATAACACAAATGTCATCCAAGTAGACAACATTAAAGCGGTACTTCGCAAAGAGTACCCTTATGAGGTATGACCAAGCACCAGGCATACCAGGCAATCCCATAGGAGCTACATACCACTGGTTAGTATCAGCGTGCGTGCGAAAGACGGTATACTTGCGACCCTTGAACGCGATACGCATCTGGTGATATCCTTGAGCCAAATCTAGAACTGAAAATGTGACACAACCATACATCTGATCGATGCGTTTGGCGATACGAGGCAGTGGAATCTTTGGAGCAATCGACTGCGAGTTCACATAGCGATAGTCGACGACCCAACGGATAGGCAAAGTCGAGTTTTTAGAACGTACCCACTCAGAGCAAGACAGCTGACGTCCAGAAGTAGGATCTTTCTTTGGGGAAATCCCAAGGATGTTGGACACCCAAGGAGAATCAGAAAATTCGATCCATCCTTTTTTCATTTTCTCTGCAAGGAAGAGACTCAGTGCATCCTGCTCAGCCTTAGACAGGCGGAACGGAGCACGGTTACTTGGAGTAGCATCAGGTTTCATGTGAAGCTCATAATCCACACGACGTGAAGGCGGTAAGCGATCCGGTAAAGTCTCCGAAAAGACGTCAGTAAAACGCTTCAACAAATGAGTGATCGGAACAGGAGTCGAATCCTTAACTGGCGTGACCGCACAAATCTTGACACGGTACACTTCCTTATTCACATGTTTCTTCACGTTATAAATAAAATCATCAGCAGCAATTTCCACAGCTGCTTGACTAGAAACCGTTGATGGAGGTGCACAATGCACACTTTGAACTCATGCGAACGCCAATTGATGCATGGCTGAAACTTAGTAAACCAAGGTTTTCCCTAGGTGACATCATGGGCAGATCCAAGTGACCATTCCACGACCTAATGTTTGCGGAAATGGTAGCGACCAAAGTCAATAGTCGCTTGGCCTTTCTTCACAGAACTCGCTTTCGAAGAAGGTCCATCGAACCGAGTGACTTGTGAGACACCAGACGTAGCGGTGCTAGCGACAAGCCCTGGGCGACCAACGTTGCATGTAGCACCACAGTGAGACATGATGACGACAGGTTTCCCGTCACAAGTCTCTTGTTTCCGAATGGGCTCGTTCTCACGATGCATGGACGACAAAATGGACGTGGAAATCTCTTCCACTTCAACAGCCCCAACTTCGTCATCGGAATGAGTCATAGACGATCGTTCAGCAGCAGCAGCAGCAGTTGTAGGAGAAGAAGAATTAAAGCTCGCGGCAGATTGCTCGTGACGGTTCTCTCGAGCATTCTTCTCCTTGTTCTTAAACTTGAAGCACTGCTCAATGACATGACCAGACTTCTTGCCGTAACGACATCGCTTGCTAGACTCCAAAGAAGAAGCAGAACGGCGGTTTCTAGTACCCCGTGAGTCAATTTCCATTGGCTCGGGTTTGTTCTCCTTAACATGCAAAGGCGTGGCTTGCTGTTGGTGCGAATTGTTATTGGACTGAGAGCGTGATCGATCCTAAACAAGAACGATGGACGATAGTTCTTACCGCGGACATGATGCGATCGATCATACTCCAAGGCAATCTTCATTGTATGCGACACTGTTGTACAGCGACTATATTGCACCGCTTCACGCGTAGGACTGACGAGTCCACGTGTGGAGTAAGTGATCTTGTCCAGCTCACTCATGCCGGCCACTTGCAAGATGGCTTCACGGAAGTGAGAGATGTATTCTTTCAAGCTAGAACAATTTTTCTGCTTGAGTGCGTACAATTGGTCACGCAAACGCTCTTGCAAATCCGGAGGCACAAATTCAGCGGTTAGCCTGGCCATAAGGTCCTGCATGCCCTTGATATCACGCTTGTTTAGCTTGTACCAAGCGGCAGCATTTCCTTTAAAGCTCGCAGTAGTAATGGCCAAAATTCGAGAACTTTGTTTGTTGTTGTTGTTGTTTTGCCAATCGATGTTTATGACTTCAAAGAACTGAGCAAGTTGCTCGAAGTCCATCTCAACAGAGTCTCCCATCTTGCCATGAAACTCAGGCTGACGGATACCTTCCACTCTCACTTCACGCTTACTGATGACTTCAAGCAGTTATTGCTGCTTGTCAACCGTTTCGATGAGTTTCTGCGTGATAGCGCCAGTAGTCCATCCTCGAGAATTTAAGAAAGTCATGGTTAGTTGTCGAATAATTCAGCGATGAAGTGCCGAATAAGGATGTCGGGTACAGATGGACAGCGACGAGGGGTGCATGTACTGAATTTGATCCGGTTCTTATAGACCAGACACTTACAGCACACACGCAATCAGCGATAACGCAGATAAGGGATGCAACAAAAGGTGCAGGTACTGACTTGATCCGGTTCTTATATACCAGACGCTTAGTGCAGTACACACGCAAAATTGTCAAAGTGCGCTGAAATAAGGTCGAAGCGAAGAAACCCGACTAATTTGGAGGCGAACAAACAACGACACACGCATACGAGCGGCTTTCCACGTGTCGCGTAGCGACTAGAGAATTGTAATAGGGCATTGACGGTGGTTGCCGAGGAGTCAAGCAGTAGAGAGCACGTGGGAGGTATTGGGTACGTCAGTGAAGTGAGCGGTTACATGGCGTCAGTTGGTGTGGCGAGCGGAGACCGCACAAATGCGATCTTGTATCCAGAAGCGACGCGTGAGAGTTGCGAGCCAATCAGGAGTGACCAAAGATCGCAACACGAACCCAACGTGCAGAGGAAAAGTGACGTGAAGACGGAGAGCGGTGAGACTTCGAGATTTGCGCAGGAGAGCAGTAGCAGATTGAATCTCACTTCGAGATTTGCGCAGTCGAGCACAGAGGCGAAGTAACTGCGAGTACGGAGAAGTGCGGGGTAGTGAGTAGGGTGCACGAAGCGGTCAGAGGACCAACACGAGAAGAGAGAAGGAGAAGAGAGAGAAGAGGCGCGATTGGACGGACGATCAGTCGTCAGTGCATTGGTGGACGCGTGGGGCAACGACAGCGATGGGCGACGAGACCAGGAGGAGAGGACCCTCCGAGTTACTGTGTGGCTGCGAGCCGTAGGGTAGGCGCCAGAGGCGTAATCCAAGTGGCTTTAGTAAGCGAGGTTTAGTGGGACCCGAATCGTCGGTGCTTTGCGTGGACAGAGTTGTGCTGGGGGTGGATTAGAAGGACAGGAGCACGGAGAGTGGGCGCTCGATAAGTTACGGACGCGTGGCGAGTCGGAAGCGTAAGAGTGAGACTGAGTAGCGGTGTATTCCGGGAAAGAAGGCCCAGAGAAGAACCGTGGCAATAGGTCGAGAGTTGAGAGGGTGAGTCAGGTGAGTGATAGCACGCCACCGAGAGCGAGTTCGCGGCTGCTAGTCACAACAGGCCAGAGTCACAGGAGTTGAGGAGAGAAGTAAATAAAATAGGGACGAGAGTCCCGGCACCTTTGCGAGGGGCCTACAGAGTGTGTGAGTTGCATTGAGACGGGCTACCCAACAAACCGAACTACTGGTAGTCCACCGCAGGAAGCACAGACAATATACGATCCGCCAGCAACGGGGCGTAAGCGGGTTGTCACATGGTGGTCATACAGGGGCATTCGTCAGTCAAACGAGGAAGTGTCACGACGAAACGAGTACCGGAAAGTGGGAGAACGAGTGGTACTGCGGCAGACGAGATGTCGTCAACGTCTCCGGCACGAACAGTAATGAGAAGACGAAGGTCGAAGGATGTTGAACGACAAGTCGACGACTTGGTTAGTTTTGCTACACAATCGAGCTCCAAGAAACAACGAAAGAATGGGCGTGAGGAGCAACGTCAAGGAGAACCAGAGGCGACGCCAACCGAACAGACGTCTGTAGTTGAAGAGGCCTCGGGATGTGAAGAATCGAAGCAAAGCGACAGCCTCAGTAACAAGACGCTCGAGTTAGTGGATGTTGCACGAGTATTGCATGGACTGACAGCGATGGTGGCGGGGTTGCAGCCTAGCATGGCTGACAGTCAAGATGAAGTCAGGGACATCCGCAGTGGAGAGAGGCAAACCGATGACGCAGGAGGCGGTGCATCCCAGAGCGTAGCGGTGATGACAGGGGACAAGACCAACGATGGAGAGTCGGTGGCGACAGTGGCTGCGGCACTACAACAACTGACAGGTGCCATGACGAATCTGCAGATGCCTCAAAGTGGAAGTCAGCGGGCCGAGCGCCGAGAGCAACCGTCAGTCGAATGGGTGACAGTGCGACAGGAAATCCAGCGATTGGCGGAAAGGGTGAAGACACTACAAATGCAGTCGAGTCATGACGAGTTACATGGACCAGAAGAAGCCGAGGTACATGAAGGGAGACGCGAGCAACCTGCCGATGCTTCGACAACACCATCCCGTCACCACAACCGAAGTCGAGAGCGAAGAGAAGTGCAACGAGAGCGAGGCCATGTCAATCACGGGGAGCATGGAGAACGCAGAGATGATCGACGCGGACAGCGAGAGACGGTGCGGAGAAGACGGCGGGTAGATCCATCTCCACCGGACGACAGCAGCAGCTCTGACGAGTCACGAGATGAAGACCGACATCGAGATAATAACCGTAGAAGCACTGGGCAAAGCAGCTCGGGGGATTCTTCGAGCTCGTCGAGTGATAGCAGCAGCGAGAGCGAAGGTGAACCAGAACGACGACGGCGCCGTAGGTATCGGGAGGAACATGATCAACGGGAAAGAGGAAGACAACGCGGTCGACGAGGCGAAGAGGGGCATCGACGAGAAAGAAGCCCGAGGCGAGGGAAGAACGTGAAAGACTTGGAGCTGCCGAGTTTTACACCTTCACCCAAAGTGTTAGTATCAACGTGGATAGATCGAGTGGACTTAGCATTAAAAGGGGCTGCCGAGTCAGGACGAGGGCGTTGGTCTGACAAGTCGCTGTACTTCATATTGGGTAATAAGCTGATGGAGAATGCAGCTAAGTGGTGGGTCGACATGGATAGGAGACTCTCCGAGCGGAAGAGAACATGGACGAACCTAAAACAAATGTTACTACGTCGATACGGAGAAAAGTTGGACAAGTCAGCTGCTGAATGGAGGGTCAGCATGCGTAGGATGATGCCGGGCGAAACACATGCGGATTTCGCGGCAGGGCTGCGAGATGTGGTAGGACGAAACAAGGTCAGTGAGCGAGTGCTGCTGGCACAGTTCTACAGATGTCTCGATAAAACCACGAAGAAGCTAGTGAGGCAGGAACCGCAGCCTCGGACATTGGAAGAAGCTGTGGATAAGGCCATGGAGATCGATGATCCGATGGACAACGTGGCGTTGGGTATGAGTAATATTGGGCAATCGTGGGCGACGGCACCGAGTCGGTACGTCATCCCCATGAACGGAACGACAGGAGCTACAAACGTTATCCCTGGTATCTGCGGTACGGGATTACCCCTGGACATTACTGGTGGTACGGATGATGGAGTCAGCATGCGACCGGAAATAGAGCACGTAGCGCTCTTTACGAACCCGCAGGGCGTGTACAATACGTTCTCAAACACCTGGGACCCCCCGCCTGGCCATCTATGGAACGGAAGGTACTGGTATGAGCCGAGGAAGAACGTAAAGAAGACTACAGCGGCTGTGGCGAGCAGTCACAAAGAAGCAAAGAAACCTGCTGGGAAAGCAAAACGGAGGAGAGATGTCGAGGACTCGAGCGACGATGAGTTTGCGGCAAGACCAAAATACAGGAAGACGAAAGCAGCGGTCAAACAAACAGTGAAGCCCAGACAGCAACCGGATAGCGGAGAGGCCAAAGGAGTGCAGCAAAACAGCAGTCAACCACGTGGCGATGGTCCTGGCGTATGCTATCGGTGTAATCAACCTGGTCACTTTGCGAATGGATGTCCAACCTTGAAGTGTTATGCATGTGGGAAATTGGGGCATATGGCAAGTGCGTGTACTGATCCGGAAGCCAAAAAGCGTAACGAGGCGTACTTGTAGACACGCATACCCAAAGAACAGTCAGCGGAAAACTAGAGACGGACGTGGTAGGGGGAATACGACGTTCAGCAACAGAAGGAAATCCCCGACAGATGACGAGAGACGCCATGCTACTTGGTACAGCAAATGAGGTAGCGGTACGGACGCCTAAGAATGTTAGGACGCCAACATACCAAAGTGGGTCAGTAAACATTTGAGAGTCAGCGCGTACAGGGGATCGAGGAAGTACGAGTGGCAGCGTGGGCGCAGTAGCACAAACGACAGCGGAACGCGAAGAGAACCAGACTAAGAGAGTGGATGCAATGTTGGAACAATGGCGAGACGGGGCTGCGGAGCGAGATGGTGCGAGGGCTGCTATCTACGTGTCGACAGTGAGACCAGCGATGGCCTCGGCACGATACAAATACGCTGCATCTGCGGATCAACAACAGAACGAGGGCTGTGGACTCGACGGCAAGCGTCAAACTGGGGAAGGCGCGTATTTATCAGCACCACAGTCGGAAACCAACGATGGCGAGGTGAAGAGTATCGGAGAGCTGTCGGTGAGCACGGTCGTGAGAAGAGAAACGATGGCTGAGGCGGAGGACACGACGAGAGCTGCGAGGGACAACGGCACGAGTACCGCGGAGAAGGTAGACGCACAGCTAAGCGATGGTATTGCACAAATACGTCTTACACGTCGAAGAGAACGGAAACAAGCTAAACGCAAGAAAATGATGAACGTGCGAGCACGACAGCGTAGTGCCGAGCAGCAAGATGCAGAAGAAATACAGCGTGTTACCGTCGAGCAGTTGACCAAGCGACAACGAGTTGCAGAAGTCGCTTTAAACGAAGTCGTGGGGCGGAAGCAGCAGCTAAATGAGAGAAAGACAGCGAGCGCGCTGAGAACCGCTAGAGTGAGTCTAGTACAACGGCAAAAACGTGCGGAGTGTGACGAGGAGTTGGCCAGTACGGACAATGAGGTGTAGTACGTGGAAGCAAACGACGGATTACCGACAGCTACGATGACAGTGGCAGGAGCTCGAAAGTGTATCAAGTTGGACAGTTGTGCAAGATTCGCCATTGCAGGGACACAATGGATGCAGTATGGCGACAAATTGGTAGACAAAGCACCCGTTGACTATGTGGAGGGCATTGGTGGCTTTCTCTTGGATGTCATCGGAGTCTGGCGATTTAAGATGAGCAGCGCCTTTGGCGAGAAGGTCACAGTAGACGCGTGTATTGTGTCGGGTTGTGTGGAGGAATTCCTCCTTGGTGTCGACTTTATGAAGAAGTACGGTGCGGTCATGGACTTCGAGAACAGTGAGCTACGCTATCGAGATGAAGAGCAATCCGTGATCATCCCGTTCAGGACCTATGACGATATCGGTGGAGCACGTGTGGCAATCGTACGAATGGCACAAAAGACGCAGATCGAAAATAGTTCGGTAACGCCGGTTGAAGTGGCGGTGTCCGCAAAAGACGGCGAGCAGGGCATCTTCATTCCGACGGTATACGCAGGATCGGTGTTGTTGGCGGCAACAGTAACGACGGTGTGCAGTGGACGTGCGTGGGTTCCAGCTGTTAATACGAATACGAAGCCGACGAGACTGCCGAGCAAGAAGCAGTTGGGCACGTGGATACCCATCAGTAGCGAGATGACAATACTAGCGATGGACGGTGCACTGGATGCGAAGAAGATGAGTGCGTGGCTCGACGAGATGGGAGACACGGAGACACCTTTGGATGATGAAAGCCAAGTGAGCTGTGGATCCGAGGAGCCAGCAGCGCGAGAGCTGATCATGAAGTTACTACGAGCCTATCGTCAATTAACGAAAGATACAGGTGACTGTCCACCTGCAACTGCATTAGAGATGTACCATCACATTGACACGCAGGACTCTGCTCCGA